TTGTATTCGGTTATGAGAAATTTCACTATTCATACTTTAAAATTTGTTAAATATTTCTTTCGTGCAATTTTAATAAAAGATTGTACTATACGAGTGGTGCTAATGAAATTCAATCTTAGCTCATCAGTGATTTTACAACTTCTTATGGTATAAATTTGTACATATTGGTAAGTCCAATATAATCAAATATTCTAAGTCAGTTGAAGTCAGCAGAATTTCAGAGTCTCTCAATTGCGGGTATATTGGCGGGTATTAAGAAGTCTATTGATTGAAATTGATGAAAACCAATATCTTATAAAAAGATGTTGGTTCTATTAACATATAATAAAAATTAATAACTAAGAAGATCTAATAATTAAAATTAGACCTGTAAAAATCATTCAGTGAAACAATCAAAAAACTTGAAACAATTGGTTGTAAATTACAAAATGTATAGAAGTAGACAATAAAGAAGGAGGTTAAATCGATGGTAGATCAATTGCAATCTTTCGGGAAAACGATAGGAACGAAGGTATAGCACAAGATTGAACAAAATAGGACTTGATAACGAATAACTTGCATTTATAATATGTGAATGCGAACTATCAAAAGAAATGGATTGGATTATTAAATAGAAAAAGTGGAATAATATTAAGAATTATTGATTTGATCTCTTTGAGTTCTTGTTTTTTATTGACTTCGTTTATTGCAACTTCGCTTTTAGAGACGAACAATAAGTAGTTTATTTTATTATGAGATTATAAAATGATGTTGTATGACAACTACAATAAATAATTGCTCTTCTAAAGACTTTTATTTATTAGTACCGATCTCGAAAGAAAGCGAAAAGGTGGTTTAAGAATTATATGTTTTTTACACAGAAGAAGTAGCAAGGGTAGCAGAGAAACAGTTAATTTATTTTTAACCTCAGTTTTTCATGTGATAATGACTAGTCGCAAAAAAAGTATTAGAAAGCTATTTACTGCAGTACATAGTATACAAAAAATAAATATATCTGTTACATTGTACGTAATTAATATTTATTAAAAATAGTTGGAAATCAATATTTTTTCACTTTATCAGTAGTGTAGTATTAATAACGCGAGTACTTTAGTTTCATAAATAAATCAACAATTTTACTCGTAAGTATAAAAAACAAAGCATATGAAATTTGATAATTAAGAAAAACAACTGCTTCCTAAGAAAAGAATTTTAATTTACACATTTGAAAAATAAAAAATACTCAAAATATATTAAAAAAATGCTGTTTTCAAAACTTGTTTTTTTTTTTAAATAAAACTAAAACTTGCATTTATTATGTTTTACGCGAATGCTCTGTTTCATTCAAGTTTCTAAATAAATTTGCGATTCAAAATATTCAAAGATTCAAAAGATTGTTTTATTTTATTAAAAACAATCTTTAAAAGCTGATGATTATCTGTTTTTGAGATTAGTCGAAAATCTCTACGTGGCTAATAACGACAGTACAGTCCGATCATGATTTTGAAATGACAGTATAAAATTAAAATTACTCGCTAATTTATTTATATACAATAATAACACACAGTGGGTGTACTACATATAAAGAAAAAGATAAAAAAATAAAATAAAATTGGGCTTATATTAGATCCACTAATATATATGTATGGCCCACAAGCTATACAAACGGATATGATTGACCATTAAAGAGATAAAAAAATTTATATGGACTATATTTCCATAATCCAAAAAAAAATTTTGTGCATGTGGAAAAGGGCTACTTTCTGCTTCAATAATACCTTTAAACATATTTCTTTAATACCAACAGTTAAAAATTTTTTATATAAGTATTTCTTATAATTCTTCAAGTTACAAATATTTTAAGTTGATGGAAGTAGTAAACCTTGTATTGTTTTCAAACTAATTTAGAATTGTTAAACTTACCGTAGTCAATATTGTAGATAATATTTATTTCAGTAAGCTAAAACCGCTTAATTAGCAAAAGAGAAGATAATTAATTCGTGATATGCTGCCCCACAGATGCTCTACAATTTCTCGACATGTTAATAAGGAAATGTGTTAATAAATAATACAGAAATTATATTTAGTAATATGAAACAATCTGTCGAATAAATTTAAATAATAATTTTAATATAATAATAACTTTATATTGGCATATTTGCACTTTGAAAAGCTTTTATTAATAAATATTCTTAATTTTAATGTCACCCTAAAAGTATGCAAAACAGAAAATAATCAAAATGAAAAATTAATAAATAAATTTTTGAATGTAGTTTAAATAATACAATAAATTTTATAAATAAGATATTTAATAAATTCATTGCAATAAATATACAAATTGCATAAGTACTAATATCATAAAATACGAAGATTAAATAGCAACATTAAACAACATTAAAAAATAAAGTTAAAGAAATAAAAACAGTGTTTAATTTTTATGAAACAAGCAGTCATTAATAAAAAGCCAGATTCATCCACTTATATTTGTACCTACAAATATAGTATATACATACCAGGGCACGATCTATCAGCATTAACATTCTTTAATGGTTCAAACTGTTATGTCAGTAATTGCAGGTACTACTCATTGTATATTCGTGTAGATAAGAAGACTTATGTATCAGCAGCTCATCTATATGCCCTATTGTAGATTGTCTCTTTAAGGGAATAAATGGCTTTAGAATAAATTTTATAATTAACTTGTATTGTATAATAAAATAAATATAATATAAACTAATACCCCGATTTGCGGTGTTAATTGGGACCAACAATATGCGGCAATATGATTAAATTTTTTTTTTTGCTTATATCTAACTTAAAATTTTGCTATATATATTTACTGATTATTTAATAATTTTTTGGAATTAATATAGATTACGAAATATATATAACAATTTTTTTATTTTGCCTGCGTTTTCATCTATGGCATTGACTCAATCTTGGGTTTTCAACAGCACGGATAGTATTTGACCATCCAGTTTGTGTAAGTTAGCTTCTAGTTTTAGATGTCTTGTTTTAGTCTTATTTCTATTATTCTATAATTATTTCTATCTAATTATTTTTTGGACATCATTTCGTTCTTCTCTACACATTATTTTGATCAAATGTTTGAAATTTTTATATTTCTCAGGCTCGAATTTAATGTTTTTTACAACGGCACTTTTGCTGTATTCAAGGACATAATTTTACATATTCGCTCAAAAGATATAAAATATTTTAAGCTTCAACTTTGTGCATCTTTAACTGAGCAAGTATACTTATATCTTACGTTGCCAGGAGTATCTATTTAATTTGAAAGTAATCCAGCAAAAAGTGCATTATTTCTTCTAATTAGTTTATTACTACTACACTTTTTGTTTTTTGCTCAATCCAGATATAAAGCGTGCTAGTATCATTAATCAGAAGCAGTACAATAGGTATAACCAGTAGCCGTTAGTATTTTCCAGACCAGCAATTCATATTTTTTTAATTTTCATCACCACTCGCCTAAGCAGTGAATTGGCGTACATCATTTAATGCTTCTCCAGCTTCCAATAGCTCACCAATATCGCTTAAGTCAAACTGAATAAAGTAAGTGAAAATAGAGTCAACATTTGCTTTGTTAGTTGTAGTACTCAGTATCAGTCACCAGCAGACGACACTAGCTATTTTAAAGATTTTTTTTGCTATCTAACTTGTGTAATATCTTAAATATTTAGTATAAACAGCTAGCAAAATTAACTAAATAAAGCAATGAAAGAGTTTTGCTCACCATCATATCATCACTGTTCTGTTTTGCTATAAGTACAATGGTCAATAGAGAAGTCATTTGCTTTGCACTGTCATATAATTAAATAGTTAACCATATATAATACAACAGAGGGATTTATGTTTTGACTATAGAATTTTATAAGGCTTGTTGCCGTATTTGATAGAAATACTTTATTTTTTAATATTTTAATTTTAATTGATAGTATGTTATCTGTAGATGACACTAAACGTCTCTATTTTAAATTATTTTTAATTCTGTTTTTAGAAAGAAACCAAGCAACCTACCGTAGCTTTCAATTTCAAAATTATAATATTTTGACTGATACAATATATATCTGCTTATATTCATTGATATTTCAATTTCCTGTTAATAGATATAGCAAATATGGGGTTTGTAAGATAATTTTGAAGCTCCAAAGCCCAATGGCTCTATAAGCATTCAGTTAGCGCTATACTAATCTATGGTTGAAGCAATGGTGCTACATTCATCATTAGAAGTCTTCAAACTTATCAAAATTTTGTATTGAAATATATGCTAAAAGCACCATGATATATTAGAAATGAAGATATACAAATTAATTTAAGAGTTCAGAGTGTGCAAAAGTGCTTTAAAGAAAGAATAATGAAATTGTTCACTTTTAGTTCTATAAAATCAATTAAATAACTTATAATCATTTGTTTTTGGAACATTTGTTACAGAGGATTACTCAAGTGATCAGAGAAACTTTTGACTAAAAGTGCTTTAGACACTAAGTAGGCTTTCATTAAACAAAGAAGAAAAAGAATTACGTGTACTTGTATATTGACATGCCTTATGAGATATTTGTAGTATATTCTAGTTTAGTCGTATAATGTTTTTAAAGTAGTTTAAAAAGTGCAGTATTTGTATATAACCAGAGTAGTTTGACAATAAAGGCATCTAACCTTTTAATTAATATATCACTGATAATGTATATCTCTCATTGAAGGGAACTACTAAATACTAGATGCAGTTAGTACATTTTGTTTTTTAGCGAAAACACTCTTTTAGTTTTGAGATATCCTATAGTAATTCTATAGATATTTTTACCTATAAATAGTTAATCCTTATACATAAACTACATTACTACTATACATCACATATTCTTCTCTCCAATTATATAAATAAATAAAATAAAATGCGATTTTAATTATTATTAGTTTTTATAATTGTATGTAAAACAAAAACTTCTAGTGTTGTAGATTTAAATACAACACTAAAAGTAATTTTAAGGCACTTGGATTACCGAAAATATTATTACATGATTTCTTTTTAATAAGTGCAAATTTTGTTATAAAACAACAAATAAATCCTTTGAACTTATCTAATATTGCTTCGAAAGTGCTTTTCCGTAATACTTTTATCAATACTTTCAGAACCAGGACTAAATCACTAGAGCTTTAATTTCCATCGATTGGAAACAAATTATTTCGTTAACGATTTTCATCTTCTTCTTCCTGTAAACGAAGTATATCGGCTTTATTCATAAAATAATAACTTGGCTGACGTCCTTTTAAATCCTTAGATGTACGCTTGGCACCATTTTGTATCAATATTCGACTCAGACTCTCTACAGTATTTGTACCCATTGCATAGTGTAATGCAGTACGTTCCAACTTTAAATAAGAAACATTTAATATATATCTTAACTATAAATATATATATATATATATCCATGATTTAACGTAATACATACATTATCACCTATTCTTAACACCTCAGGTGCGTGATTTATAAATAATGTAACAATTTCTTCAGCTTCTTTCAAAACTGCAATGTGCAATGCAGTACGTCCTTTAAAGAAATACTTTTAGTAATATATCTATATATATAAAATAACTTTAATCAAACCATAGTAGTTTTTGGCCCCCAACAACCATTTGGCATTTATTGAAGCAGTTATTTCCTTAATCCGCTCTAAATTATTTTCACGTATCATTTGATGCAACTCTTCACGAGTTTCCTGTGATGAATAAATATATTAAAGAAAATGTAATTAAAATTCACATTAGCGATTTCTGAATTACCTCCATAGAACGTAAATTTCGCAAAAATGCTTCTAATTCCTCGTGACCCTTTTCAGTAACAATATCTGTTATCATCTTACCACTATCATCAACGATGTCAATGATATGATCGTAGCCCATTATTCCCAAATGTTCGAATGGTCTTACATCACCTTAAATAATTTTACAAGTAGGAAATACAAAAAAGTATTTATTATATTTTATATAGTATATTTGAATTATCATACCAATCACAGCCAATGAGAGTACATAGCGATCAATTTCTTTTGCATTTGCCAATTGATTTGCTTGCAAGGAAACATCTCTAGCGGTACGATATAGCTCATCTCTATATGTTATGTCAATATTTGATTCCTCAATCAAATTCATTAACGCTCCACGTCTATGGGAACGAGCACAGGCGAAGTGCAACATACTCTGTCCATGCTCATCGCGATCGTCGTACTGATTAACGGCTAAGGAATCATCTTCCGCAGTTGAAATGCGTTCAATATCGTTATCCTCATTATTACTGTTGCTGGCACTAGGATTTGTATTTGACTTATGCGTCATTAATGCGGTTGAATTTGTTTTACTGCTGCTGCTCTTTATTGTTTGCTCGACTTCTGCTTTACCATTGCGGTTCCGTACATAATTCTGTAAGAACCCGGTGAGAAACGCGACAGGATCCTCTGGTCTTTTGTTCGCTATTTCAGTAAGAGCTTTTATAAGCGGTTCAGCCAAGTCTACATGGAAGTGACAATTATTCAATTTTAAGTTTAATGTTTTATTATTATACTTTGAAAAAGAATATTTTAAAACTATCATGAACTTATATTTAATTTAAATTTAATTATTTTAATTTTTCCAATTTGGTTGTAGAACATAAAATATTTTGTTTTTGTTCTTCTATATATCTATATATATATATATATATATATATATATATATATCTGGGTCTTCATTTTATTAATAAATAAGTAAAACTTTATGATAATTTTTTTTATAAACATCTAATATTAGTACTCAAATATAAACAATTTTAATTTTTTTAAGTTATTCAAAAAATCTTCAATTATCCTTAAAACCCAGTTAACTGTAAAGTTCTATCATTCACTGAGCGTGAGATATGACCATTTGAAAATGAATCTAAATTTAATATCCCCATCTTCGCGTATCTTGTAAGTATTTTTTTCCAAAACATAAGTAATAAAATAATTCTTCTTCTTTATTATATACAGAATATTTAGATTTACAATTTGAACTGTATACATAACCTATAAATATTATGGTATACTGATGGGTCCAAAATGGAAGATGGCATTACGGGAGCAGGAATTATAGGACCGAAATTCCGCAAAGCAATCGCAATGGGAAAAACTGCTTCCATTTTTCAGGCAGAGGTCCATGCCTTAGAGCTTTGTGCAAGAGAATGCATACGAAGGGGCACCCGAGGTACCAAAATATGCATCCTGTCAGACACCTAAGCAGTTCTAAAAACTTTAGCAAAATTCTTATTCCAAACAAAGTTGGTCTGGAAATGCCATCAACTTCTCAGCACCCTAGCATCGAGGAACTATGTTACTCTCATTTGGGTACCGGGACACGAAGCGCATGAGGGCAATGAAATAGCAGACTCCCTAGCAAAGAAGAGTGCATGTGCTCCTTTCATTGGTCCAGATTCCTTCTGCGGGATAACAAATAGATTCACAAATAGCTTATTATGTGAACGGGAGAAACAACATCTACTTGAACACTGGAGAGCCCAAACAGGCATGCGACAGTCAAAAAGATTCATTGATCCTAATCATATCAAAGTTAATGCTATCCTTGGCCTTAGCAGAAACGATATTAGAATCTACACTGAACTTCTTACGGGACACTGTAGACTTAATTACCACATGAAGATTATAGGTGTGGTAGAAAGTGACTCCTGTGGTGTTCGTCACCAAGCGGAAGATTGGATTTAAAAACATATATACTTTTATTTTCTTAGAGGATCGCATAAAACAAGTCAACCAAATCAGAGATTATCAGATTAAAAGTACACCCGTTTGTAAAAGAATGACCCATATGCAGTGAAAGTTCTCCCAATGGGACACCGATCAGATGAACCATTTTAATCGTTTATAAAAAATATTAATATAAAAGAACGTGAGGTTTATGAAAAATGAAGACTGTGGACTCGATTAATTGAGACCGTTCATTTAGGAAAAGTCTCACCTTGTAACAGTCTTTTAAAAAAATTTGAAAAAAAAGTTTTTGAAAATTTTGTTGTTCTTGATCTTGTGATTTTAGTTAGTGCTACTGCGCACTTTTACTATTTGTGGCTGGGGGGCTTATCCCTGCCCCACACAACTTTAACTTTACTAAAATCATTATTATTTATTTATCTTCTAACTGATGACGAACCGTAGATCAGCATATCTTATGTTCCGTCCTGAGGCGGACTTAAGGTTTGTTAGGGCGGGTTTGGCAACGTAGCAATTTTTGTGAATAATTTTAGGGCTCTGTCCTTGATATATATTTTCACTAAGTTGATTCTTAGAAAATAAAATTTTTTTATGTCAAAATATAAATAATAAGTAACTTTATCTTTAAATTAAAAATTATGAAATATGAAGTTGTCTTATACTAAGTCTAAAATACTTACTGTTTGCTAGATATTGTCCTTGCTCTGTTTTGAAAATCGGATTATTTTGACAACTTTGGTTTTCAACTTGACCTGAAAATAGTTTTCGATTTAAATTTAGTGTTAAATTCTTCGTAAAAGTATTTTACAACAGCATTATAAGTTGATCGATTTCTAAAAACTAATTAATCGATATAAAGTACTGAAAAGCAAAGGAATTAAACAGTGCGTACATCTAGTATAACTTCAATTTTAATATTCAAACAATATTTATGTATAGCATAACGACGAATTAAGTATAAAATAATTGCCATTACTTCCTAATAACTTCTAATAATTATTTATTTATACATATTTTTTACAGTTCTTTAATTAATGGACGAACGCAATACTAATTCTTCGAGAGTGAAATGAAATCAAATTTTTTAAGACTTGTATTTAAGTAAAAGGTACTTTGGATGAAGGCATGAAAGGAATTACAATTATGATTTATATATTATATATTATAAACGAACACATTAATTTTTTTTACAATTAATTTTTTGTTTTGACTTAATTAATAAATATCAATTACTTAAAACAAATAAAGGAATTTTGAACCATATACTTTGACTAAAAGTATTTTAAGTAAGTTGATTATATTAATATGAATAGTTACTCAAAAGTATATATATGTATATATACAGACTCTTGGTTCAACAAATACTTGTTATAAGTAACCCTCTAAATGAATAAATGATCATATACTAGTAAATATAGTAAACAAAAATGTTCTCTCCAAATAAGAAGTATTGAAAATAATGCGTATTCAAAATAAAGAAAAATCTTTGATAATATAAAATCTCTCATTTTATGGGGGTCTACTGTATATATTATAAATAAATAATAAACCTAAATTTGATATTTAAAATTATTTTAAAAATTTTTTAATTAGTAATAGTTCTTAAAACAACAGCTTGATCCAACAAATATATTTTAATCAACTATGTAAATCTTAGAACACCTAGCTTCAATAAGATTCCCGAAGAATTAATATCGCCTTTAATTTTCTCTGGATGCTGATATAAATATATATAATTATATGGTATTAAAAAAGTCTCTAAGAAATGTTTTTATTTTTGTGGCATATATTTTCATGAATCTTTTCATGTTATTAAGAACCATTTAATCTTTTCTTAACCCATTTCTCCAAATATTGTAGGTTAGGAAACTCAAATGAAATGTGAAGCGCAACTCAATCATAAAACTAAAAAAATCACAGGACATGAACTTTTACAAAAACTATTATTCTACTACAATCTTACAGTACACAAAAAGGAATGTTTGAAATAAAATAATTTACTAACCCTGTTGCAAGTTGAATGTGAAGCTCATTAACTCTCAGAAGCAAAAATAAAAGAATTTCAACAAAAATTAAGTACTCAATTATATATTTTGTATAATACAATTTTTTTGAATGCTCATACTAATTTTGATAAAATTTTTGTATTTACAAATCATGTGAAATGGCATTCTATTCTGCTGTATTATCTAAATGATTGTGTATTATTGCTATATTTTTAGAAA